AACATCCGATGTAAATCGTTCTAAGGTATATCTGTTTGTTTTTAATTTCCACTGATGCACCAGTATTATTTACACTCATGACATATAGTTGCGGGTACGTGTATAATGTTGTGTGCATGAAATACGGCTGGCTGCCTATATTATTTATTGATTGGTAAAGTCAATAATGCCAACCAGCACAATTCATTTAAATAAGCGAAGAACACAGCTGAAGACTGACAATGTACATAGCCAGTGATGAAAATGAATCCAGAGTTGGGTGAATTTCAACAGCCGTTCCAGTTTGATGGAGCCTCTTATCAAATAGGCTTTCCTCTTTATAAATCAAAGAAAGAATTTAGGGACAAATCCAACTCCCATTTTCAGACTTCGATGGGAAATGGATCAGACCCTTAAGTGGAGAACTGGCCTCGCAGACACCATCTCCGCCTGGATGGTAAATACTAGGAAGGTATCTGAAATGATATGGGATTCCTCCTGCACCATGGAGGTCAATGGGAAGTTTGCAGTTGACTTTAGTAGGGTAATGATGGTGACCACGAAGCAGTTGAAAAGTGGCTGCCTAGTGTAGTTCAAACCATTCTCCAGGTGCCCAGAGCATCTGTCAGGAAGTTATTAGAGTAGTGATTTGCCAATGTAGCTGTGGTACACTCAGTAGTTAACGTACACTCTGGAATAAAAAATAGGGCATTATTAAAAAGAAAAGCCCTGCGTATAGATGTTTTGGGTTTGATTTGTGCACATTTTGGGATGAAAAATAGTGCATTAACCATCTGTGTATAAATAGTTACTCAGTTAGCATATTTAATGTATGCGGAATTTATTCAATGTCTGTGGATTCTTGGGCTTTTTCAGGAGTAAGATCAACAGGAAAATCTACATAATGCTGGATGTGCAGACCCATATCTCTCAACTGTCCCACATATTTCATCAGACACCCCCTCTTCTGTAATAAAGAGCAAAGACTGGGAAAGCAGAGTGTCATGCTGGATACATTTCAAGTTGATAGATCTCTATTCAATTGTCTTTAGTCAAAGTCAGAGGGTACAACAAACAAGGAAGAATATTTGAGCCAGATCCTCATCTGGTGTAAATCTATGTAGCTCTTTTGACTTGATTGACACCAACTGGTGATCTGACCTCCTGACTTCACTGAAGTTCAACATATTTACACCAGGGCTGAATTTGGCCCATCGTCCAACCCCAGTTGTGCAACAGGTTCTAGGACGGCTTGCAATCAAATGATCTGTCAACAATCCATGAGTAGACACCTCAGTGTGTCACTGATTTCACACCCGTATACCAGAGTAGCATTTTGGCTCTAAATCTGAGGAAGCAACAATGTAAAAAAGAACTAATGGAGGGGACCTATTCCCATCTGCATGCTTACAAAGAGCACAGAATTGCCTGTAAGCAGTTGCACTTACCACTGTAGCACCCCCTCTCATCAGGGCTTCTCATTGCAGGGGTCCATGCTCCAGCCACCCCTGTAGGCAGTCTGTCCTTGTGTGCCATTCAACCCTCAGCTGAGAAGCATCTAGTTCAGATCCTCTGCAGGGTAACAAAAGTCAAAATAACATCCAAACTGTCTCAACAAATCAGCCCATCCTCTGGGCTCTGTCTTCATTCCCCTTTCTGGTGGCTACTCCAGAACCTTCTCCCCAGCTCCAATACTGAGCACTGCCCCCCTCAGAGTGAGTCTTTCTGAGGTATCTGTTCTCCTGCCCAGGAGTCTCTCCATGTCTCATCCTCCAGGCGGAGCTCTCTCAACTTTTATGAGGCCCTGCTGACCCCTATTAGAGCCCCCTCTGGCTGAGGAGCAACTAATTAACTACACCACAGATGTAGTAAATGTGACTATCTGGCCTTTAACTCTCTCTAGCCCATACTGAGGTCTCACCCTGTCACATAACCCTATAGGATTTCCTAAAGGAAAAAGGCCATCTGGTCAGAAGGTTTCATTGCCAGAAGCTGTTAAGGATCCACTTTTTAGTAAATGGGACAGATTCTCAGTTGGTGTAAATGAGCACAGCTCCACTGAAATCAATGCTGCTACGACTGACATGAGCTGAAGATCTTGGAGAAGTGATACAGATCTCTACAGAAGTTATGGACTCTTAAAGGCTAAGCTCTGGGATGAGATCATGGTGGACAGTTACATTCCTTGGACACAACTGAACGCTCTACAATAAGGGCAAAGCTTGTCTGTGCGGTGGACACCACCTTCTCGGGGGCTAGTCCCAGACTCTGGAATGAACTCCCTGATCACAAACCTCCCTGCCTTCCGCTCCAAGTGCAAGGTGTATTTCTTTGACCTTCCCTTCTCTAACATAAACATACAGCAACATACATATTAAAAAACAAAACAACAACCCCTAAACAACCTACCAAAACATTCACTCTACTGCACACACTTCTCCCCCTGGAGAGAGCATGAGAGAACAGACAACATGTGATGGATGTTAGTCACGTCACTTAATGCACTACTGCAAGTCACTCAAATACCGTGGAGGGAAGGTGGGGTATCAGAATAGATAAAGGATAGACTAGACTAGAGAAATTACTGAGTGAGGTTCTCTGGCCCGTGTTGTGTAGGAGGTCAGATTAGATGATAGTAATATTCCCTCTTCTGGCCCTAAAAATCTACCAATCTATATATTTCTTCCTTTATGCAGAACTAAAGCATTTGCATTAGGTTTGTTTTCCAATCAGATAATAGCCTGAGGACCCAGCCTTCTTTCTAAAGAACGGAAGAGAGTAAGATACTATCTGACCGACAAAAAAATAATCAAGTTGGGGCAAAGCTTCTCTTCAGGTGCAGCAGGGTCTATAGAAAAGAGAAACAAGATCCCTGATTGTTCTGAGTTGCCTACTCTGTTGTGTTTTTTATTTTTTCATTTATTTAATTTATTGTCTATGAAATTCTTCCGGCTTCAAGTTTTTGTATTATCTGCTTTTAGTTGTCTTTGCTAGGGTTGCTCTCAGCACAGGACACAGAAAATGTGGATCAAATTAAGCAGCATGAAAAGAATTCCTCTCACTCAAACCAGGGAGCATATACCTATTGTCTCTGTCTCCTAGTTATGTTTTCAAAAGGCATTTTTCAAAGGTTGGCTCTTGCTTAGCTTACTGCACTGAACATTTCTTCTGGGAGAAGGTGGCTCTGCATCCAGTGATTGCATCGGGGATCAAAAGCTGGATTTGAATTTCTGAAGATGGGTAGTCGATCAAGTACGAGAGTAGAGTTTATGGAATAATGTTGAGGCTATTCACACCATGTGGATGTAGAGTTGTGAATTTTGTATCACTTGCCCCCATCCTGCAAACACTTGAAGCATGTGTGAGACTTTGTACAGGTGACTCATTCCACTGATTTCAACGGGATCACTGACACGTGTCACATTAAGCACCATGCATTACTGTGTGCAGGAGTGGGCCCACAGACTGCAAAATAACGGTCCGATCCTGCAATGTACCAAGCACCTTCAAGTCCCTTTGGGTGGGATTGAGACTGGATCCAAAAACTCTACTACCTGGTAACAACCTATCTGGTGAAATCGCAGTTTTGGGCTTTCTGGAACCTAAACTGCAGTCTGAGGGTGGCATGTTGTATGAAGGCTATGTATTGTAATGTGAAAACAAGAATCATTTCATTGGACTCTGGTTGTTTTGGGACATGCTGTGAAGATGGCATCTGGATGTCTCTCTAGCAGTAGACGGGTTTCCTTCCAGTTTACCTGGTCATCATCCCAAAGTGGATGGACATACTTACTAGAAGAACTCTTCAAGGTTCAATGGGGGACCCTCCACCCTTGTGTCAGAGGGAATAACCGGTGGTGGCCAAAAGGGTGAACGAAACCGATATAGCCTGCCCAGCAGCGATCATGTGCTGAGTGTGTTTGATGCAGGTGCGTTGCTGGTAACCAGGATACTTAGCTGTTTTCATGGTAGCAATATCTAGCTGCACTTCCGTAGTTAGCCATCTGCCAGCGATAATACAAAACCACTCTGATCATGTGAACCTTGAACAGCTAACATGCCTTCTTGCCCAAATCAGGGTTATGTTTCCTAGGAGGAGCATTTGTGGATCAGCTTGTGTGGGCTGCTTCCTTGATCATCCAAATATGTCCCCGAAACATGACAAACAGGGTTGTACCGTATCTCAGTATTATGTAGACTCCGGGCCCTGTTCTGATGCCTCCATCACTGTTTATATACTTGTCTAGCATAACTGACTTCAGCAGAGTTACTCTGGGTTTGTGCCAGTGTAAATGGGATCAGAATCAGGTTTTCAGTATTAAAAGGTTACTAAATGAGGTTCTCACTTTCTCCACAAAGACAGAGATATGTACCAACACAAACGTCATAAGCCCTGATTTTCTGAAGTGCCCTCAAATTTTGCACAGGCAAAATAAAAATGTCGGTTTAAATAATTATGCAAAAAGAAAAGGAGTACTTGTGGCACCTTAGAGACTAACAAATTTATTTGAACATAAGCTTTCGTGAGCTACAGCATGAAAGCTCATGAAAGCTTATGCTCAAATAAATTTGTTAGTCTCTAAGGTGCCACAAGTACTCCTTTTCTTTTTGCAGATACAGACTAACACGGCTGCTACTCTGAAACCTAAATAATTATGATGCATTTTATAGCATTTAGGTATCTAACTACATAACTGCACCTGCAAAGTTGCACCTGGAGTTATCTGTGGATGGAAGCATGCGGGCGTGAAGTCAGAGTTGACTGAGAATCAGGCCCAGTGCATTTAGAAAGAAACTGAAGCGGGACTCACACTGTCAAATGCAATTCCATGGCTGCAATCGGAACACCCCGCAACTTGTGAATATTCAGAGAACGATTTTTGGTTCAGCCCTTTATTAACAGGAGCCATCTGCAAAGTTTGGGCCTGGTTCCAAGGCTGCGAGTTCATGCTCTGCCTTTAGGAGGCGCAGGAAAAGGAGGGGCTAAAACGGCTTTAAGCCTCCCAATTCTGGATGAGCTGCCTAAAATTAGCAGCATAAAATCACTGTAGCAGTGTCTGCTACTAATTGGGCCCTCCACACCCACTGGATCCTGTAGGGGGGGGCTTCTGTTTTATTCATCTCCCACACCAGAGGAATTATTCCCCAGCCGGATGCAGGGCAGCATAAACTGGCCACGCCAGGGAAGAGATTCCTTGCCCAGGTTTCAGTCCATGCTCTGGGTTTGCACTCGTTTCTAATCAAGACAGATGGAGCTACGTTCTTTTCTCCGGGACATTAGTGGACTTCATCAGCAGAGTTCTTTGTGTGTCACAGAGAAGAGAATTTCACCCAGTTGCGTGTGTACATTACAGTGTATGTAAGTAAAATGATTCTGCTACTGAAATCTGTTAATCATTGTTTTCTCATGCATTAAAAGCCAAGACTGTTGAGCTAAATACAGTAAGTGACCAGTGCTTACAGTAAACAACACTTCAATTACTGTTCACTTGTGTCGTTATTTCAGGCTTGCCTTTCTTCCCCCCCTTTTGAGATAAGTTACAGAAGATGGAAATTTCTGTGAAGTCTCGTAAGACTTGCAATTTATTCCATCAGTTATCTGACCCCTCTGTTGGTTGTACTTCAATTTACAGGTTCTTATGAAGCTTATCGGGAGCTAATCCCACTCACTGCAAGCTGTCAGGCTGCAAAAAACAGAGCGGACATCATACCACGTGCTTTGCGTAACCTCTGGCTGCAGAAAGGCTGTTAAGAAAAATTAACTTTGTTGTGTTGTGATCGTAGCTGGGCCGATTTCCTACTGCCTTGCGCTTTACTGGGTTATGGAGTGGTGTGCCAAGCAGGTGCAAAGAGAGTGTAAAACACCCCCAGAGTGGTAGCATTTTACTCTCCCTCTCACAGAAGCAAAAGAATGAGCCAAGGAGGAAGGTAATGGAGCATCAAACTCTGCTATGTTTAAATATTCCAACTGTTTTCAGCATGCTCAAGTTGCAGCTCTCTGAATTGCTCTGTGATGTGACAGACGCAAAGCCAAATCCTGAACGAAGCCAGCCACACTATCCCGTCTCACATCCGCTGGGGATCAGGCCCATGATGTTTTTTTCAGCACTTCTGCTAGGGCAAATTGCTCCGCAGGTGCTACGCCTCTATGCCGGGGAGTGGGATTTTATTAGTTGCAGCATTAGTCTGACTTTTAAAATGGATCTGGTACTTGTGAAAGGGGCTAGCTTGGGGCCCTGGAGGCTGAAGTCCTCCGTTTAGACACAAAACCTGTACAGCCCAGGCAAAGCAGTGAATCTTTGTGCCTCAGCCCCGAGGAGCTGTGAGAGGCTAGTTCACTCTCCCTGCCTAAGTGATCCTTCGTTTTCCTGCTCCGACTGCCCACAAGGGTGTTAAGTCGACTGGTGGGTTTTGTGCTCTAGGACTGGAATGAGACCTGACCAACTCATTTCACATAGGGCAGCCATCGGCTGCTAATAACATTTGGTCACTGCTAGATTTGAACCTGGGGTCTGTACAGGTTACAGACCCCTGTCTTGCGCCTCTCAAGGAGTTCCTCCTTCAAGGATTTCCCTTCATGGACAGGCTCTGCTTAGATGTTACACATAGCCCGAGGTTGTATTCACTTGTGAGCGGATTCTCCATTGGGTTTGTGGTTCTAGTCCCCGCCCTCCCCGCTTGTACATTTCCAACCCCATGGAAAGCTTTCTGCATGATCTGGGATGCAGGGGCTTGTGGGTGGGAGCTGACACTATCCTCATGTGTTCAAAGGGTTCAAACATCCATGCACAGAGGCTCTTCCCAATGCCTAGATCTCAGGGGGACTATCTGGCCCCCAAACATTCACAGAAATACTTCTCAGCTGAGCAGCTGATCCAGGACTAGACCTGGGAGAAGAATCAATGCCCAGTGCGCCATTACAAAATAAATAATCAGATCTGTTAAACAACTCATTTGTCCATGCACCAAACCAAAATGGGCTTCCCAAGGGATTGATCGTCTTCCCACAGAGCTCAAGGAAAAAATTCCAGTGGGAGCAGGATTGGGCCCTGAGCCTTCTGGAATAAATGCCTGTTCAAGAACAACATGTGGGTGCAGCACCGGGTCCTCTAGATTAGCACCTCTCAGTGGGCCCACTCCCACTGAAGTCAGTCACCAATCTCCCATTGACTCCAGTGCTGCAGCACCCAGTCCCTCCCCTCTAAATCCTTCGCCCTCCAGTGCCCTGAGCCTTCTGTAATTCACAAATCCAGGCTATGTAAATGTTGCTCTGGATTAGATTAGCAGCTAAATGTGGGACCTATTGCACAATGCTGGAAGCATGAAGGTTCATTTGGTTTAATGGCATAACTTTTTTTTTTTTTGGTCTCTGATTCTTCAGAATATATTATTTGGCTATTTCCAGCCCAAACCACAGCCCCCATTAATTTTTGAAAAGCCATCACAATTATGCTGATTGCCGGGTGATGTATTGAGTGCAACCTGGCGTCTTCTGGAAGGGCTGGATATTTAAAATCTATCCATCTGAAATCAAACCCAAAAGAATTTATACACGTACCAGGCACCTCTTTGCCCCCCGAAAATATAAATCCACACACTGATGGCACTGCAGAGATAGAAAATGTTTTTTTAAATGCTTGAGTTTATGAGTAAAACTCTTTCAATCATGGTTGGGAGCTTCCCAGCTATGTGTTTCTTTAGCCCCATTCATGAGTTCTTTTCTCTCAACCCCTTTTTTTTTTTTTTTTAAGTCTTCTGTAACTTTATAGTATTAAAGTTTCATTTTAGTCTCTATTCTGATTTTCAGCAGATAAAAGAATAGAATGGAAGTGGAAAGAGCCCTGGAGCCAACCATATCATCGGAGTTGACAGACTCTGGAGTTTCAAGCTGGGAAAGCTGCTGTTGTGAGGACAGGCCTGTGCTCTGCTGTGGGCCTCATTCAGGAGGAGAAGGATGGGTATTCATCAGTTCTGCCAGTCATTCTGCAGCTTTGATCAAGGGACCATTTAGGGGGGGGAGGGAAGGCACATTTCATGTCTGAATGTTTTGCTGGTTGGCTTTTTTTTTTTTTTAAGTTAGAAATTTCATAGTTCCGAGTGAAATGTTCTCTGTTCTGCACAAGCCTCTGGGGGTCACTCCACGTCCCAGGAGAGAAAAACAATGACGGGTCAGTTGGATTCCCTCCCTTTACAAATACAGTTTGAAATGGAAATAATTGGGACTTTGGATGAGTTTATGTTTTCGTTACTGGAGAGAACTACAATGGCTGGTGAAAAGTTTGAGGTGGTAAATAAAATACGCAATATTGATGTTTAGATTTAAACCAGCACACACACAGCTATGTACATAGCCTGATTTCCCGAGGGGTTTAGGCCCAGATTTTTAAAGGTATTTAGACATTGCAGAGCTCAGCAGTGCACAGCCTAACCGATTTAGGACCTACATTTCATTGTCAAAAGGGCATTCAGTGGCATTCAGGCTCTTAAGTGCCTAAATCCCTTATGAAAATGAGATTCAGTCTCCTAACTCAGTTAGGCATTGCAACAATGCCTCAATCCTTTTAGAAAACTGGGCTAAGTGCCTGCAGCTCCCGCTGATTTCAGCTGACACTGGGAATACTCAGCCCCTCTGAAACGTAGGCCCGCAGGAACCACAGCAGAAAGCGTTTGGGCCTGTTTCTGACCTCACTTAAACTGCTCTTAATCTGGAGTCACTATTAGAGCCAATGGAGTCACAGCAGTGGCAAGTGAGTGCACATGCAGACTCAGGGCCTGTGTGAAATGTTCCCAGGAGGAACAAAGACTCAGATTCCCATTGGCACCCAACTGGGTGTAGTTAGGAGGGGTCCATTAAGGAGCCAGTTGAAACTCCTTACTCCCAGGGCTGATTTTCTGCTGGCTCTCTCCACAATGTAGATTACAGCAATCTCAGGGCTGCTCTAAACTCCACCGGCTGGGCTATGGGACTCTAGAGGCTGTTCTGCCAGCTAGGGATTGCCAGAGTGCATTGACACTCTAGACATGACCCCTACATTGGAGGCTGCAAGTGAGCGACAGTGGAGGTAACTACTCCCGCAGGAGAGATCTGCTAACTTTACAGCCCCTTTGTGCTGATCAGCTCGTGCAAATTGGCTGTAAGTGTTTGGGGCAAAGGGGGAATATTTGCTATAGGTTTCCCTTAACAGACTAAGGAGAGAAAGTCAACTAACATGGTATTTCTCCCCCACTTCCTATCTTTAGCCTCCTTGGTTTGACACAAGTTTCAAAATATGGCTCCAACACGAGGACAGAATTTCCCCAAAGTTCAAGAGTGTACAGACCCAGGGTTTGGACCATTATAGCACTGGAGACCTGCTGATTTTATCCATCTAGGCACTAAAACCACACCCATCTCCATAGTCTGGCTGAGGCCAATTAGAATCACAAGACTGGAAGGAACCTCGAGAAGTCATCTAGTCCAGTCCCCTGCACTCAGGGCAGGACTAAGTATTATCTAGAATATCACTAACAGGTGTTTGTCTAAGCAGTTCTTAAAAATCCCCAATGATGGAGATTCCACAACCTCCCTGGGCAATTTATTCCAGTGCTTAACCACCCTGGCAGTTAGGAAGTTTTTCCTAATGTCCAACCTGAACCGCCCTTACTGCAATTTAAGCTCATTGCTTCTCATCCTATGGAGATACATCCCTGATCAGGAATTGAACCCAGGGCATGGCAATGAGAACACACCATATCCTGATCACTAGACCAGAGAGATGTCTAGCTTGTAGTCAAGATCTTGGTGGGTGGTGGGGATCTGGCTGGGAAAGGAATAGGGTTAATGGAGATTGGAATTGCCAGGAATTCTCCCACCCTGGTCAGACCAGGAGGGGTCAGAGCTCTTGCATGCTGGGAAGAGGTTGCTGCTCAAGGCAGATATATTGGGAGCTGCAAATGGGCCCCAGTCTGCTCTCCATGCACACGGGTAACTCTCCTCAGCACCACGTGGGTACAGAGAGCAGAACGGAGCCCTTTCACGGGACATTTTCCCCAGCTGTTGGCTTTGGCTATTGATTCTTTATAAAGGTAGGAGAGCTGGGAACCTCTCCCACTGATGTCATATTGTTCCAGGCAGGAGAGTTTAATATCAACAGAGGGTTGGACATCTGGGAGTAGTGTCTCTTCTGGGTTTAATGCAGTGGATGTTTATAAATAAAAAGTTGCCTTCCTTCAGTGCCTGGGGGGGCTGAGTTACAGAAGGGCTAAGTGAGGCCATGGGCACAGGCCAATGGTTAATGTACCTTTTATAGGCATTCATTATAACAGGAACGTTAACGTTTTAAATGATCTTTATATCCTGAGAACGTTCATGTTACTTGTAACTGGAATAAGGCTGGTGCGAAAGCCCGATGTTATTACTATTACTCCACCTGGGCTTCCAGTCATCCCTGGGATCTACTGCGGTGAGTACATGGCCACCCATGCATGACCACACACACACACAAGACTGTGTGTTGGACCCAATCTGTAAAAACACCAGTTTCTTAAAACAACTTTGTAAAGATCCGGCAGCACATTTTATTTTGTTATTGGTAAAAGGCTAGGGATGCAAAAGGAAAAAAAAAAAACCCGAAGGAGCTATGTTTAAAAGGCTGAAAACAGCCCCTGAACAATATTAACACACAGTAAAATGCACCACCCATTCTTTATAAGGCAGTTTAGGAAGCCAATGTTTTTCCACACATTAATGTGCAGAAGGTGCAGGCACATGGGGTTTGGCTACTTTTTAATATACCTGGGATCTGACGTGATAGGGTCTCTTTAGGGGGAGTTGGAGCAAAAATCTCACCGCAGTTCACATTAAGAGTTTAAAATAACAGCAGAGCTACTTCTGCTAAAGGAGTCAGTTCAGGGGATGGGAAATAGAAAGAGGAACATAGGAACTGCCAGACTGGATCAGACTTGAGGGCCACCTAGACAGTTCAGGGCAGCAGATACTCCAGAGGAGGATGTAATAAATCTTGCTGTAGGCAATTGAGGAACAATCTGCCCCCCCATGAAGGAAGGTCCAATCCTAAAAACTAACAGTTAGTGATTGGCTTAAACCCCAAAGCATGAAGTTGTATAAACCTTCCAAAAATGTTAATAGCATTAATGATTTTATCTCTAGGTATCCTGTGGAAACAAGTGCCAAGTGACAATAATTCCACAGAAGGGTGATGTACTGGGATGTGTCCTGGGATGTGTCTTCAATGATGTAGCTATTGCAAGTCTACACAAACATTTAGTTCATGGCAAGTTGGGGTGTGAATCTACCCTGCGTTAGCCTGCTGCGGGCTAACTGGGGGGAGGGATAGCTCAGTGGTTTGAGCATTAGCCTGCTAAACCCAGGGTTCAGAGTTCAATCCTTGAAGGGGTCATTTAGGGATCTGGGGGAAAAATTGGGGCTTGGTCCTGCTTTGAGCAGGGGGTTGGACTAGATGACCTCCTGAGGTCCCTTCCAACCCTGATATTCTATGAACTGTCCGTCCTGCCCCTGCTGATGGTTTTGATCTACTCCCGTTTGAAAGAAGACAACATCAAAGCACATTAATGAGCTGTTCATGCACATCAGCAGGGTCCACACGGACAGTTAGGCCGCAGCAGGCCAGTTCGGGGTAGATTCACACCCCAGCTTGCCACAAACTAATTGCTCATGTAGTCAAGCGCTAAATCAGTGCAACCCCAGCGCACATGCACAGAACCCGAGCAGAGGGGGGCTTCACATTGGGGCGACCCCCTCCAGAAACTTACCCAAATTTGAAGGGTTTCTCAAGTGTCACTGCATCAACTCCCCAAGTTGAGACATACCATTAAAAAGTCCCTGAAGCACCAAAAAATGCAATATAAGAAGCGGTTGAAAGCCAGAGGCCTAGTCTACACTACAACCCCCTATTGCAGCTCAGATATGTGGAGTCAATCCACTGGCCAGCTTGGAGACACTCACAGCTGCTTTGGCTCTCTGTGCTCCCCGGGAACTGGCTGCTTTACTTTACCGCTTGCTGCCTACTGGTGAACTTCCACTGTCATGTGCTCTGCTGTGCACCAAGCTAATTCCCTCCAGCAGGGGGCGTGGCGCTCACTCATACAAGCCAGGTCCTTCCAATGGTTTTGGAACAGGCTGAAATTTTTCCACTTTTGAGACGTCCCTGAAAAACTGGGTCAAAATGACAAATTCTGACAGAAAAAATGCTGAACATTTTGGGGGAGTGTCTTCCCTTTTGGGGGGTTTTGTTCGGAGCAGCACCATCATCAAGCTGTTTGGCAAAACCAGGTGCCCTTTAGGCATCAGGATCAGAGTCGACATGCAACGAGACTTCTCCCCTCATGCAGAAACAACACAGAACACAGCACAGGCTATTGACAGATGGTGAGAAATCAGGAAGGGAAAGGTTACGAACAGGGCCGGTTTGGGGTGCAGAATTGACTCTGCAGCTCTGCTCATTAGCAGCCCTTCTCAATAGGGTCTAGCAGCAACCTGATTTGTTAAACACTACTCTGTTCAAACTAAGTCCGTGCATTATTTACAAGGCTTCACGGCAGGCCACCATGACTTTGATACATGGGGCACTTTCCTTTCTTTCATTTCGTTAATAAATCTTGCCAGCAAAGGGGGCACAATATATCACATCTTACAGCTTTCTTGCCCCTCTGGATCAGTGGGTCCTGTGCTTTAATAAGGATGAAGCTGATCTGAGATGAGGCAATTTTGGTGGGACGTTGAGGGGAAAAATGCTCCATGGTAACAAAAGCACTTGGTGGAAACAGCTCCTGTGCACAAACACACATTTTCAGAGGGATTTACGTGCAGAATAAATCAAAAATGCCCCCCACTCCTCCTTGGAGGTAGGCAAATATTTTCATACCCAATAATAAATATCACTTTATAGATGGGTTAACTGGGACACAGACAGGTTAAGTTAGTGGCTAGGTTAGCTCCAGATAGGTTAAGTGACTTGCCCAAGGGTATTAGTGGCGGAGCTGGGCAAAGTACCCAGGAGT